AGGGAGCCCGATGTGGGACTCGATCCCGGGACTCCAGGATCATGACCCGAGCCGAAGGCAGTCGCTTAACCAACTGAGCCACCCAGGCGCCCTCTCAAAGCTTATTTTAAAGCTTAGTTTAGTGGTGTTACATAAAGGAAATTTCTCTGTACTTGAATTTTCATTTAATTTTGCATGCCTTAGCATTTTTCAGATGAATAAATTGAGTCCTAGAGCTTTTGAGTGTCTTAACCAAGATCATATAGCTATTTAGTGGAGGGATGAGGCAGAAATCAGCTCTTTTACTTTGTATTCCAGTGTTCATTCTACCACATTAGACTTCTCTCCTACATTTTACCAGTTCTGTGATTACTTTGACAACAGGCTTGCATGGTGTCTCTCCATGGTATTAGAAGTGTACAAAATGCCCTCTCACTTGTTTTAACCATCTTAAGGGACTTCTTGCTGTTTTGTTTCCTTTCCTCCCTGTAAACTGGAAAATACATACTCTTGCAGACCCTTTAAAAAAATTTTTAAGGGCGCCTGGGTGGCTCAGTCGGTTAAGTGTCTGCATTCAGCTTGGGTCATGATCCCAGGGTCTTGAGATCGAGCCCGCATCGGGCTCCTTGCTCAGCGGGGAGCTTGCTTCTCCCTCTTCCTCTGCCTGCCACTCCCCCTGCTTGTGCTCTCTCTCTCTCTCTGTGTCAAATAAATAAATAAAATCTTTAAAAAAAAAATTTTTTTTTTTAGGGGCGCCTGGGTGGCTCAGTCGGTTAAGCGTCTGTCTTTGGCTCAGGTCACGATCCCAGGGTCCTGGGATGGAGCATCATGTCCTGCTCTCTGCTCAGCGGGGAGTCTGCTTCTTCCTCTCCCTCTGCCCCTCCCTCTGCTTGTGCGCTCTCTCTCTCTCTCTAATAAATAAAATCTTAAAAATGTTTTTTTTAAAAAAACAAGCAATCAAAAAGCAAAAATTCAATATGTCATCTTTTATTTATGGTAATTTACTTTTTGGAAAGCTTTTCAATTCATAAATCCCAACTGTTTACCTCCCAGCATCCCATAAATTACCTCACTAAAACTCAAGTAAGCTATTGGTTGTGGAAGTAATGTCATGCAATCAAAAGTACGTTAGAAGTGTAGATAGCACCTCTCAATTAGTTTCATGTTGGTGGAGACTATGTTTGAGTCTGTTTTTCCTGCAGGTATAGTTTGGGATATTCAAGTTGGAGGAGCTATTAGAAATCAGCTCTAATTTTAATATGTGAAGAAACTGATTTTATATATGAAGAAACTGATAGTAGCAAAATTGGGTCTGCAAACCGGGATTCTGGAATTGGTTATAAATACATACACCATGTCTTTAAAAAAATTTATTTTGAAGTAGTTGTAGCATCATAGGAAGATATTTTATTTTTCTTCTAATTATTAAAAGTCAGATTTATGGGACACCTGGGTGGCTCAGTTGGTTAAGCGTCTACCTTTGGCTCGGGTCATGATCCCAGGGTTCTGGGATCGAGTTCCACATCAGGCTCCTGGCTCAGCGGGGAGCCTGCTTTTCCCTCTGCCTGCCACTGTCCCTGCTTGTGCTCGCTCTCTGACATAATAAATAAATAAAATCTTAAAAAAAATAAAAGATTTAACTTAATTTTTCAAAAGATGAAAATAATTCATAAGGTTTGCCATTTGAAATACAAAAAGAATATTTTGTAACAAATCAGATAATACAGATTTTTATAAAATAAAATTTTGAAAATAAAATTAATTTGAAAAATAAAATCTCCTACTTACCTCCATTTTGTCTTTTTTGATAAGGTAACATTTTGGTGTATAACCTTTTATATGCTTTATTTTCTTAGAGAAAACAAATCAAATATATATACATACAGGGTATATATATTTATGTGGAAATAATTGTCTATGTTAGTCTCCAGCTTGATTTATTTATTTATTTTTAAAGATTTATTTATTTGTCAGAGAGAGAGTGAGAGCACAAGCAGGGGGAGTGGCAGGCAGAGGGAGAAGCAGGCCCCCACTGAGCAGGGAGCCCAATTCGGGACTCGATCCCAGGACCCTGGGGTCATGACCTGAGCTGAAGGCAGATGCTTAACCAACTGAGCCACCCAGGCATCTCCAGCTTGATTTATTTTTTAATATATTTTTAAGATTTTATTTATTTATTTGAAAGAAGAGCGCAGTGGTGGGGGGTGCGGGGGAGGAGCAGAGGGAGAGGGCCAAGCGGACTCCGCACTAATTAGGGAGCCCATTGCAGGGCTCGATCCCACGACCTGGAGATGACAACCTGAGCCAAAATCAAGAATCAGATGCTTAACTGACTTAGCCACCCAGGCGCCCCTCCAGCTTGCTTTAAAAAGACAAACCAAAACCAAAAACAAAAACCCAACAACTTTATAATAGACATCTTCTGATTCAAGACATCCAGTTTATGGCTATAACATTATTTAGTTAATGATTTCCCAACTGATGGACAGTTACTTTGCAGTTTTCTGCTCTAGGAACAGTGCTGCCAAACAGAGCAAAGTACTTGGTCCACCGGTGTATTTATGTGGGATAGATTCTAAAGTGGTATAAAGGCATGGTTAACAGCACAGATTCAGGGGCTGAGACTTGCTGGAATGAATCCAGGCTGCACCACTTAAGAGCCAGGCAACTTAAGGCAAGGTACTTTTTGTGCTCTTATTTTCTCTGAAAGAAGAACTTAGATCAGTGATAATCTTTACTTTCTGGGGAGACTAACTTCTTTGATAAGCTAATGGGGAAAATATGCTCTCTCAACTATTTACTAACCAGAGAGGTTGATCATCTTTTCATATGTTGTAATTATTTGTAATTCTGTGAATTACTCGTCGTCTTCTGTTCTCATTTTGTTTGACTTAATTGCCTTTTTAAAATTGCTTTGTGAGATTTGTTTATATACTCTGGACCCTAACTCTTCATTATATATAGTGAATATATCCTTTACTCTGTTGCTTGCCTTTAATTTTGTGTTTTCTTCTTTCCACATTACTAAGTTGACCATATCTTTCTTTTTTTTTTTAAGATTTTTATTTATTTATTTGACAGAGAGAGACACAGCGAGAGAGGGAACACAAGCAGGGGGAGAGGGAGAGGGAGAAGCAGACTTCCCGCTGAGCAGGGAGCCCGATGCGGGGCTCGATCCCAGGACCCTGGGATCATGACCTGAGCCGAAGGCAGACGCTTAACGACTGAGCCACCCAGGCGCCCCTGACCATATCTTTCTATGTAGATCTGTCTTTAAAGTAGATAGACCAGAATTTTATTATTGCTTATAAACTGTTCTATCCTTACCATATTGACTTGTGAATGTCACTGTTACTAAATATTAAAATCTCATAAATTCATGGTTCTGTTTCTAGAGTATTTAGGTTCTTTAATCTTTTGTCTAGTTTTGTACCCGTCAAATTTAAAATTACTCTAGCTTTGTAACAGTTCAGTATCTGATAGCACAAATTCCCACATTTCCCCCCCTAGAAGTTTTAAAGCAGTTTGTATGCATTTACTCTTTCTTATAAACTTTAGAATCAGTTTTTTGAATTATGTTAAAAAAAAAAACCTGTTATTTTGATAGAGATTGCATTGACTTATATTTTGGAGGCTAAAATAGTGATTTCAACATAATGTTATAATTTACCATTGACTTTACTAAATTGTTACATAAAGATTTTCAACTCCCCATAATCTAAAATAAATTATTTAATTTTTCAAAACACTTTGGAGTATGGAATCTTTTTGGTTTCTTCCCCCTTCCTTTTTTTGTAGGATTTTGTACCATTACCGTAGAAATACTTTTTTTGTTTTATATGTGCTTATTTTACCAGAAGTTTTCACTGGCATAATAATACGTATTTGATTGTGAACCATTGGGTTCTATGGCATATTTTTTCAGTTCTAGTCTTTTTCTGTGGTAAAGGTTTGATATTAACATGTAATTATAGATGACTGAAGCCTTTTCTATTTCATTAGGTTTATTTTGTAAACACATTTATTTTCTGACATTTTAGAATTCTGTAATACTCCTTTAGTTATATGGCAGCATTACTAGCTTTTAGGTCAAAGATGAGACAGTGTAGAGTGTGTTTTAAGGCTGTATGTTATTTATTTCCCTAAAATGTGCTATGATTAGGTACTAGGTTAGTATTAAATGTTTTATGTAGAAAGGCGGAAGTTCTTTCGTCTTTCTCTTGAATCCAAAAGATCAGTAATGCTAGACTTTTTATTTTGACATTCAAAACAACTTCAGAATTCTATTCTGAAATCTCATCTGAGATGATAGCAAAATTTGTTTGATTAATGTTTTAACAAATTTTTTGTTAATATGGTTCCAGATGGTTGAAATGCCATTTTTTCCCCAGTAGTAAACAGTATACTTTGTTTCTTCTCATGCAGGTCTTTGAAGTTCTACAGTTTAGTTCTCAGTGCTGAACTTCCTTCTCCCTTAAGTTATTATAAACTTTTGCTGCTGTTTAATAAACGTGAAGATGTCTCGCAGTCCTGATGCGAAGGAAGACCCTGTGGAATGTCCTCTTTGCATGGAGCCCTTGGAGATAGATGATATCAACTTTTTTCCTTGCACCTGTGGCTATCAGATTTGCCGATTTTGTTGGCATCGAATTCGCACTGATGAAAATGGGCTTTGTCCTGCATGTAGAAAGGTAAATACTCCAAAGTAACTTTGTGTACAGTTTTTTTGCCCCATGCATATGAGTAAGTAGATTTAAAAGAATCTACAAACCTCAGGTGATTTTATGTGTAACATTATATTTTTAAGGTAATAATGGAAGTAGAAAAACACTATATGATCTTGGTAAAGTCATATAACCTCTCTGGTTAACCTTTAGCTTTCTAATCTGGAGAAATTCATAAGATCAGTGGTGCTGGGTATTTAAGAGAAATAGGAGTAGAGAGGCTGTGGATTTAGATAGGATGGTATGAAATTGGAAAAACACATTCAGCTGGGAGGAAATTCACTTTAATTTTCTAGTACAAAATAGGGGAAAAGTTTTGACATTTACTAAAAGAGGTTATGGGTTAAAATGACGGAAATCCTGCTTCAGAAGGTAATGGTTACTCATTTGTTGAGTCTTTACAATAACTCCAGGCTGTAATGCTATCCCCAATGTACATTGAAACTAGGCCTTTCAAGTAACTTGTCCACAGGCATCAGCTAGTGGATAGTATGTTTGGGATTCAAATATAAATCTTTTGAGTCTTTTCTAGCTCTAAATAGTTCTATGATTTTTAATATTCCTGGGTCTCGTTTAAATAAGCATCTACATATCTATAATATCTATATCTATATATCTATAATTATATGTAATCTATAATTACATATCTATAATATGTAATAGATATTTATAATATATATATAATATATCTTTTTGTATAGTTAATGTATTTTAGGGATATGAATGAAAAGCAAAGGAAAACCTTAATACTAGCTTTGGTCAAAATTTGTAATAAATTTGTGTTAGTGGATTTTAAGCATTCAGTCATATTTTAAAAAGTGGTTCCTGGTCATTCCACAAGAAGACAATTGTATTGAACTGTTCTGTTGAAAGTGGTAATTTTTAGTATAGCCCAAGACTATAAAGCTTGTGATGTCATTTGACTTCTCAACTTTATCTCTTTTTTTCTTTGGGTGTGCTATGAAAAGAAATCTTAATAAAAAGACCACTTGTTAAATAGTCATTAGAGAAAAATCAATTATTTGGGGAAATGGCAGAAAAATTCACTTCACTTTTAGGGGATTACCTAGAATCACTTTAAATTCTTAGAAAGTAGAGAAAAAAGTAGAAAAATTTTAAGGATAAAGCAAAATAATTTTAGCAGAGCTGGTTATCAATAAAAGTGTGCCTTTCTGGGAGGATAAGCAAGTGTGAAGAATCGGAAAAACAGTAGGCCATTGGGATCAATTTAAACAAAGAAGCATTAGTTCAAACATACTCAGGATAAGGCTGCTGAGAAAAGGTAAGAGTAGTGGTGCTTTTAAAAAAGATCCTAAGGAAAGTATCTGTGTGGTTGCCTGAGTGTTGCACTGGAGCAAGACATGGGTCCAGCCTAACTTTTATACCATGTAGCAGAGACAGATGCTCTCTAGCTGCAACACTGATTATAAATTTGGGTCAGAGCCTTAAGGTGGATGGAGATACCCTGGAGGAACTAAGACCTCCTGTGCTCAGAAGATGAATTATTGATATACTCTGTCCACCAGTTTGTCCTCCTTGCAGTCACAAAAGAGCATCCTGCAGTAAACAGAAATAGCATTTATAGGCTGGTTGACAGAGTTCTTACATGTAAAAATGTGTAAGAACCAAGAATTAACAGACATTTCAGGAATACCAACATCAGTACCAAAAATCAGTAAATAAAAGAACCTAACATAAGTAAGCAAACAGAAACATTTAAAAGGTCATTGGTGCTTCTCAAACAAATAAAAGAGAATGGCATATCTATATAGAAGGAACATTTTTTAAAGAGCAGATTAGAGATCTTGCAAATGACTAATCTTACGGGTGGGCTGAAGAACGAATGAACAAAGTTTAAGAACAAATTAATAAGTTGGAAGATTTTGCTGAGTATTTTTTTTTTTCCGCATATAGTACAAAAATATTTTAAAAAAGCATGAAAGAGAAGTTAAGCAGCATAAAAGATCTGATTCTAATCTGCTAAGAGAATTTACAGAAGCAGTGAAATAAGAATGGGTGGGAAGGAATAAAGAACCACTAGAAGGAAATTTCATGTGAAAAGCAGTTGTCCTTGGGCTGTGTGAGTAGGAGACAAGATAACTGAAAAATATCAACATCTATTAATAGAATTGTAAAATTTTAGAGTATCTAGAATAAAGACAAAGTTCTCAAAGCTTATGGGAGAAAAATGCATAGACTACAAAGGAACAAGAATAAAACTGATACTGGTGTTTTTGTTCTATAACGATGGAAAAGAAAATAATTGAGAAATTTGTTTTTCCAAATTTTTGAGGGTAAATGACTTGAGGAATTCTCAATTTCATTCACATGTAAAAGCATAATAAAATATTTTCCAGACATAAAAAGATTCATAAGGTTTAATATCCACTATACAGGACAAGTAGAAGAGTTGGTGAGTGTGTAAGGGAAGTAGAGTGGCCATTGACTGAGATGGGGAAGACCTCAGTAGGGACAGGTTTTTGAGAAGATCAGGAACTCAATTTTAGACATGTTAAGTTTGAGATTCCTATTAGAAATCTAAATGGAGAAATTGGTTAGGTGAATATTCAAATTTGGTTCTGGTATGGAAATATAAATTTGAGAGTTATATAACATATACAATGTTATTTATAAAGTAATACTGGATGAGATCACAAGAGCGGGTCAATAGAAAAGATGATTGTCTAAGGATGGGCACCAAAGCTCTCCAACATTTATAGAAAGAAAAAAATCTATATTAAATAATTATGAGACAACCTCCTTTAGGGTTTCTCAGTTACAATCTTTAGCTGCGGTCTTTACTGTTAAGTCAGACCGGGAGGATTTTTTTTGTTTTCTTGTTGACTTAATATAACTACAACTGCTAGAACTTCTGCTTGGTCTGTGACTACTCGACCTTGCTCCTGCTTGTCTCATGGCTGTTGTGGGTCATAGACAGTAGATGGTGCTGACCACACAGAGTCTTGGCTTAGCCTTGCCAGAGAATGTGCTGAGCACACTTAGCACATGCAGTTATGAAGCTGCCTGTCTTAGTCAGGGACCAGCAAATCTTTACATCTCTGGAGACCAGCCTCAGTGGTTGTGTTAACACAGGAGGACCTCAAGTGTTGCCCGATGCCTGGAGAAGGCCATGAAGCTGCCATCTACACATAGCCCAGCCCTGCTGGAAGATGGCCTGTAGAGGCCACTCTGAAATGGCAAATCAAGATGATTTAAGTAAACTTGGAGATGCAGGTGGGGAGTTGGTTGAAGCCAGCCCTGGTTGGGGTGCACAAATGACACCTGCTTGTTTACGTAAAGGGCCTCTTTGCTTTAGTGTTTTGAGAAGCAGAGAGTGGGCAGGTTTTACAAACCAAGAGAGTTTAATGTTTCTCTTTGGTCCTAGTTGCCATGCCTAAAAGGATCAAAAAGACCTTCCGTGTTTCCCTAAACTAAGGCATAGGCTACCTGGTCATTCCTTAGACTGTCTTTGTATGTTCTTTTAGTGCAGCATTTCTGAGAAAAATACCTGGTGGAGACAGCAGATGTGGGAACACAGGTAGTGTACTGATGTAGCATCATACAATGTTGACTCATGTGGAAGCCAGACAGGCCAAAGAGATGAAAACTCTGACAAAGTTACTGTTATTTTCATCTCAGAAGTAACAGAGGATATTGCATTCATGAAACAAGAACAGGGTAGTCTAAAAAAAATTCAGTGAAGGATAAACACTGTTAATAATAATTAAAATATAGCAGAAATAACAAGGAAAGAGTTGGGAGATGAATTTGAGAAAATTTCTTAAAAAGTAGTGCAAAAAGACAAAGGAGATATTCTTATTTGATAAATATTCTTATTTGAGAGAAGAGATAACTTTATTTGAGGATCAATCCAGAAGGTCAAATACTAAATAAGTTAGTGTTCTAGAAATAGACCACAGTAATATAGAAGGAAAGTTATTTCAGAAATATGATTGAAGACTATTCCCAAGACCAAAGGATATATTTCCAGATTAAAAAGGCCTATTGAGTGCCAGGCACAAACTATTTTTAAACAGAAAACTGAAAACAAAGAAGTTCTACAAGCTTCCAAAGAGGAAAAAAGTAGGCTACAAATGAAGATCAGGCATCGGAATCATTTCAGAATTCTCAAAAGCAAGACTTGAAGCTTGAAGATATTTCGGAAGGAAATTTATTTTCATCCTGGAACTCCATATCTTCCTGTTAAGTGTGAAGGTACATGAAAAGACCTTTTCAGACGTGAAAGATCTCGAATTTTTTTTTTATGTTCCGTGCATTCTCTCTCAGGAATCTACTGCAGAATATGCCCCTCACATGAAGGAATGAAGAAAAGAGAATACATGGGATAAAGGAAAGAGGTGACCAAGTACGGGAGTGATACAATGGGATTCCTAAGATGATGGGAAAGAGGACAACCAGTACAGAATGTGGCAGATCAGAAAGTTGCAAGAGAAGGGTTTCTACAAAAAGATAAAATTGAGAGAATACTTGGTGTTTTAAAAGAGAATTGTGGGGCGCCTGGGTGGCTCAGTTGGTTAAGCGACTGCCTTCGGCTCAGGTCATGATCCTGGAGTCCCTGGATTGAGTCCCGCATCGGGCTCCCTGCTCGGCAGGGAGCCTGCTTCTCCCTCTGACCCTCCCCCCTCTCATGTGCTCTCTCTCTCTCATTCTCTCTGTCTCAAATAAATAAAAATAAAAATAAAATAAAATAAAAGAGAATTGTGTTGTGAGGCCATTTCAACATTTGGAGGAGATTTGATGGTTTAATCTAATCAGACAGTTAACTCTAGGGGAAACAAAAAGCTGTACAAGAAAAGTAATCATATTATGCTGCAATGGCTCAGATATGTTGTAGGGGTTGAGATTTTTTTTCCCCCCATACAGATATATTGTTACAGCATCATTTGTAGAAAAGACTATTTCTTCACTGTTGAATGGTTTTCAACTCTTTCTTAAAAATCAGTTGC